TATCAAGAAAAGCCACAGGTGTGCCAACTTCCTTCCATTGGGATTCATCAATGAGTAGCCCATATTCTTTCAAGGATTTGTTTACATCGGAAATCCATTGGTCAAATTTCCTTTCAGTGCTGTAGAAGAAACCTGCACCATCGTCAATGTAACGTCTTACAGTCCTAACTCTCTTCATCATGTCAGTGTTACTGTAAACGCATTTGTTCATTACATAAAATACAGTTATGTTGGCCAACTGCACACACAGACTTCCACCTGTAGGCACTCCGTTCTTTTGGACGTACCACTTGTCTTCAAAGCATCCAATAGAGGATCTTAGGCTGATATCAACGAGGTCGACCAGCCAATCACAGAGTGCTGGTGTCCAGTCTGGTCTGGTGGTATTCATTGCGTGATGAACGGCTTCCTTGACAAGTTCAGGGTTTAATGAATCGTAGAGACCTTTGAAGGTGTTATTATTGAACGAAGCTAACTCTAGACATAGTTAATACTACTTCTTTTAAGAAAGGGACTTGGAGTATAAACGACCAAGTTTGCATAAATTTCTATCCAACCAAGAACTCAGGAGGCAAAGGTGGGTGCGTAAACTTTTGGTCTGCACTCTCCGATCCTGTATCACCCTGGATTCTTCTCGACGTATCTTTGTAAAAGTTATATACCTTCTAGTCAATCTCTTGCTACTCCAAGTCCCCTAAGATATCTGATCTAAAGTTCGTGCTAGTTATATATATATGAAATATATTTTTGTGTGCTTTAATTGATACTAAATAAAATTGTTGTTTTCTTGAAATTGTTGTTTTCTTAGCTTCCATCACTGATCCTGGTACTTGAGATTCCAGGTGTGGCTTTAAACAATGTTTTAAGGGCCCAACACTCAGCTCACTCAGTTGATGGTAGAACAGTGGGTCTTTGTGCGATGTTGTAGCAGGGACTCCACTTCTTGTTTTCTCTTGCTAACCAGATTGCATAGGAACATCTGAGAGCAACCAAAGCCGCCTCTTGGAACACTGCTTTCTTTACTCTCTTTGTAACACCAAAGTAGTTTAGTAGGGCTGGTAAGGTATGATGCCAGAAGCCTCTACACCCAACCTCTACCGTAAAAAGCTGAGCTTTCCACCCACTGCCATGCAGCCCAGGAATAAGCTCTCTGTTGTAACGTGCTTGTTTACGTTCTACTTGGTCACTAAAGTTACTCTCGTCACCAACTGTCAACTCTACTAATATGACCACCTTTCCTTTATCAGACCAGACTACAATATCGGGACGTTCTGCAGTTCCGTAGATGTGCTGGGGGAACTGTGCTGGGAGGTCATCTTCGTCCCAGATAATCTGCCAATCTTGGTCTTTCTCAAAAGGGCTCTCTCTTTTCATCTTCGTCTTCGGTTTTTGGTAACAGCTGCTAGATGACTTGAAGCCTGTCCAGTCCTGAACTTCAAGTTTAAAATCTTTGTTGTTGAACTTCTCGATTTGATCCAGTAGGGATTTCGCAATGACCCGCAGCACGTTGTCATGCCTCCAATTGTATCGTTTGTTGTTCAGCGAGAAGTTGCAAGCTACCAAAATGTGCTTAATGTTGCAGTGTCTCCATCCGCAAAGTGGACAGTGTCCTGTGTCAGCATAGTTCCACAGGCTCATGTTTGCTGGAGTATTTGCAACGTCATGGGTTGCATTGAGGTGGAACTTAAGAAGAGCAGGGCTCATCTTGTAGTTGTAAATAAGGTTGTTCCAACCTAGGTCTAGCTGCATGGTGTTTTCCCATGTTAAGAATTGTCCTTGAACTCCCTTGTCTACCAGTGTCAACAGGATATCCTGCTCTGAGATGTGGGATAACAGTTCTTTCAGTTTTTCCTTTTCACTGGCTACACTCCTCTTGGATCCCAAGCCCATCCTGCCTTGCACTGTTACCCCTACTAACTCTCTGAAGTAGAGATCTCTTTCTCTAGCACTCAGCTCATTAGTGTAACCCCACCGACTGCTCCCTTCTTGTTTCTTGGCCCTGTGCTCGTAGACCTCCTTAACTTTAGGATCCTTGCTACAATTATCAGCAGAGCACCTTAGTAATACACTATCAGATAAATTATACTGTTCGGACTTCAGCTAGAGAAGACTTGCCTTCAAGAATTTGTCCGGAGAAGGCCTCGTTCACTCTGGAACATGTCAAATGGTAAACGGAGTTATCTGTTAATGGTTTTTTTGTTGTTTATGGTTAGAATTTAGAATGGAATCAATTTGATGAGGATCCAGACCTGCGTCCTGCTAGGATTAATAAGTCAGTTCTACAGTTGAAGAGGTCACTTTTTCAAACTTTGAATGGCGAAATTGGCTCGGAACTTCATTCCTAGATTCATCACTGTACGGCCAGGTAGCGCAGTTGGTTAGAACGCCTGTCTTACAATCGTTAGGTTGCGAGTTCGAAACCCACTGACTGCCTGGTCGTGGGGTGAGCGTCGTCGACGTTCAGTTAAGGATCATGAGTGGTCTATGCAGCCCCCCGGTCTACTCAGCCGAATACTCGAGAAATCGGGTGTGAGGGTTAAATGAGGAGCTGCACATTGCAGCAAAGTCTCGGACGAAGAAAGTATGGTACACACTACCTTAACCGTCACTGGCCAAAAAGATCCTTCGGCTTCCTGTAATTGGCTGGTTGCACTTGTGTAACATTGTGGCTGTTGGAATACACCGAAGTAAAATAAGTGTCTAGATAAAAAAAAGTTAGTAACTACGGTGTACCATGAAACCAGTTATAGAACTGTATAGAAAGACCGATCCACCGGCAATAAATGAACCACATACTATATACCGACTCAATTTGAGTAAAAGTATAACCATCTTAAAAGGTTTGAGTCGAACATTTTTTTGTGTCTGCAAAAATATATACAAGGAATACAAGGAATAAAAAGAATATAAATCACCCATTTTCCCAATTGTGCCCCTTTATCGTCCTGACGATATAATACAGGGGGAGCCGCGCACTTCGTGCACGGCGGGTCATACAACGTATGACAACTCCAGACAGTATTGATTATCTATGTAAACCCGCGCACGCACCTACCTTTTTGCAATATTTAGGATCAAATTTGTTTGATTCACGATGTCAATCCTTCGCAGCTCGGTGAGGCACAGTGGTGCATCTCGCCGATCTACCGAAGAAGCATTATTTGATGCGCGCGCGACCCAGTAGTGCATCGCGACCCAGTAGTGCATCGCGCTACAACAAATTTGTGTTTATAACCATAGTTTTGAAAAGCGACATACCCACATTTTTAGAAGAAAACATCTACTGCTCTATCCAGAGCCCTTGCGCTTGCAGTAGCGCGCGCCCGCCTTAATTGTGAAACAAGCGCGTCCGCAGTGGCGCGAAAGCACATGGTTAGGTGAAGTAACCGTTATGTTATTTTATTTTTCATTAAAATACAATAGCATGGGCACGGCCATGGCGTGATTAAATTTTTAAATGATTTTATAAGATTTCCCGCTTAATTTTGTGGTTTTATGTTAATTTAATAATAATAAAGCAAAGTTTAAAATTAAACAAGTTATACATTTATTTTATACGTATCGCGCGTTTTTGTTAATTATTATGTAAATTAAATGTTGGCTATTCAAATTTATTTCAAATGATTATACTTTAACACACAAAAACTGATCAATTTAATTTCATCGTTTTATCATTATTTCAAAAATAGTACAACGCATATTGCACATAAATTAAACCAAAGGGTACGTTTTTTGTGTGGCGCGCAACTAATATTTAAAATAAGATTATCAAAATTGATATCAAATCGAGCGCTAATAAGTTGTTCAATGTACGCGGCACTTTTGAATCTGGAATATATTTACTCGTATCATGTTCAATGGTTAAATTAGTTTTGTGAGTCACTGAACTGATCGAGCACGTTACATCCATTTGGTTAAAAACTGTTTTGTTGTTCGTTTATCCCTGGAATGAGGTCGAAGGCGTCTGGCTTGTCTGCTTTGATGTGTTGTTGTTGTTGTTGTTGTATGATAAATGCAACTACATTACTGCAGTTGCCCTGTCTGGACTGCGCTAGTAGTCGGGGACTAACTAGGTAAGAGTCACAGCATACAGGTCCCGGTATCCATTGCAGGAAAGTGATCATGTCAAGGGTTGGTTGCACCAGCGCTTGTGTGAGACGGGGAGCAGAGCTCACTCCGAAACAGGGACTGACATAGTTGTTATCCTCCACAAGACACTAAACCTCACATTCTTCAATGGAAATGCAGGAATTTATATCGCGTAGGGGTTTCGTTAGCCCTAGGCATCCTCCATCACCATACCACACAGAATTGCGAGCCCAGAGCACACTATTTAAACCCGAGGGTACGCGTGCGATTGTGCGATACAGCTAAGAGGGATACCCTAGGACATCCTTGACCGCCCAGACTGGCACCCCTAATGGCCAACAACATTGCAGTGCGGCTTTAGCCCATACAGCATTGAATCTACTGCAGGGCTGTAATAAAAAGCACACAAAGCTTCAATTTACCCCTGTTAGCAACGTCACATCTATGGTAGATGAGACGCCGGGCAACAGGGGCTTGCTTTGATGTTCCTCTTGTCACCTACAGACACGAGATGACACGTGCTGATAAATTCATCCTGCACTGAATTGAAGTAGAATCTACTAGATGACATGATGCCTTTAGAAATGGAGATTGATCGAGCTCCTATTTTAAATACCTGTCATGTTTGTCAGCGACATGTTTTGCTAGATTGTTTTTCTCGCCGGTTATCGTCCGTACGGCGTTATTTTAAAACTATCTGTCAGATTGATCTCCGTCAGCGCCAAAATCTATATATAACATGATAGTTTATATGTTAGAACCTAGATTGAGCTGTCAGATTTAATGCCGTGAAGGTAGTGGCAAATTAAAAGCTATTTCCGTTTGCTAGCTTGTTTGAAACTAGGCTCACCTGTCACCTGCATCTCTAACACGTATTTAATGGTATGTCTTAACACTTGACTGATATTTTAGAAATGCCAAAGACAGGGGGTAAAGTACCCACCCGATCATATGGGCAGATTATTGAGTTGGAGTTGATAGAAGATCTGAAGAAAGTGCACAAACCTAAGAAGCAGTTTGCTTATCAGATAGATGTCACGTGGACTGATAGTTCCACACGTAGAGTTTACAGGTTAGTTTTACATTAGACTCAGTATTGTAGTAACTTAGTGTCTGACTCAGTAATCATTGCGAAGATGATAGAGAAATAGAAAGTTTACATGTCTGCTCGGATAAAAGTATAAAATAATGAGTAACTGTATTTTATTGCAGGTCCTATGATCAGTTGTACGAGCTTTACTGTTCGTTAACTGCTATCACTAAAGACGGTGGCATGGTTAAACTTCCTGGTGAGCAAATATTTCTATTGTCTACTGAATAATTAATTTTTGGGTTTTAATGCACAGCATTTAAGCTATGTGAGGTATTCATAGCTTGTCTAGATATTATAATTGGATATTGTGCTCCGTAGAGCGAGCACAAGTTAAGTGGAAAGTGTTTCCTGGGGAGTTCGCCAGGGGAGGAAAACATGAACTTGGTGAGTGAGCTTGGAATGCTCGCCTTCTTTAAAAGTCACATTCAGTTGGATATTGCAATCCTGAGCTGCTAAAATGGATGTCTACAAAATACTTTGCTGTTGTGTTGGCTCTTTCTGCTGATAGAATGTCTGCTCGGTGGCTGAACTAAAGATGCGAAATGAATTCTCTTTAACCTTTAAATGTTTATTTTGTGATTTGAACTAGATTTCAGCACTTCTTTTCACTATAGGTCGCCAAATATTCGAGCGCTCAACTACAGAAAGCTTTGCTCTGAAGCACCTTCCTCATATAAAGCACTTTGTTGATTCACTTCTCAGTATTCCCACTTTCATGCAGCAGGTAACGTTATATTATAAGCAATTCTGCCGTTTTCTGGTAAATGTGCTTAAAGACCTTTTAAAATTCTGAATTCTTTAACGCAAATTTCCTTTTTGGGTCAAGAACTTTCCCTGAAAACTATCAGAAACCATTAAAGAATCAATTGCAGGCTCCCAAAGATCCCCTTTTGGAACCTTCTAAAATGCCAAGATTTGTCAAATATGTGTCATTTAAAGTGCTTGAAAACTTTGGATTTTTTAATGGTCTTTAACACTTCTTAAAAGCACTTTAGTCAGAAAACGGCAGAATCATTTTACCTGGGTATTATACTCTCCTCATTTCCTTTATAATATTCACATACGTAACAAATCTTTTATTTATCTATAATCAATCTGTTATTTGTTAAAATAAATCTGTTATTTATTTGTAGTCTATCATTGCGATTGGAACATTTTAAACTAGTTGGAAGTTACAAGTTTTAGGTTTACATGTTACTTTATCTTCACCAATAAATGTGGGGCAAAAATGGAAATGATCACCAAACATCTTCTACCATTGTTGTTTTCTGTTACTATTCCATAACTGTGTTACAAAGTACGTCTTTCAGAGTGATCCGTTCCTTTGGTTTTGGGAGCCAAGTGTGGATGATTTGAAGATATTTGACATTGATAGGACGATAGAAAATAACCCTAAATACCCGCAACCCTCCGCTACTGTGCTGGTCAGTTTCCACACCCTGGTTCTTGGTAAACTCAATATTAATTATACTAAATACTGGGGGGGGGGGGGGGGGGGGGGGGGGCAACTATATTAAAGTATATCCCCGGGTCTAAATCGGAAAAAATCCTACATTTTAATATACTTTAATATACCTACAATTAGAAGATTTATATTCTTCGTTAAGATTTACATGATGAACTATATTTTTCACTCAGATTCGCAAGATAAGCCTGTTTTAGGACTAGTACATGAATTTCCATCCAGATTGGTCAAAAATTGGCTGAGCTATGAGCTTTAAAAAGTATGCCCATATTTGGGCATACGCTTTTGCCCAAATTCGCTTTTGACCAAATTCGATAAAATTTCAATATTTTTTAATGAGACTAACTCTATGTGAAAGATATAACTCAGTGTTTGTTGAATATAGTGGATACTAAGTAAAAAGACCTCCATGAACAAAATTGGGAAAATTGCACATAATATCTCGGTTCGGAATACTAGCCAAAATGACTTCATTAAAATTGAAATAACTCCATCTAAATCAGTTTTTAATATTTTTTCAAGAACTTTTTGGAATAGATTAAGAATTGCATTTCAAGCTTATTTTGGGCAACAATTTTTGAAGTAGGCCTCCAAGGAGATAGGGATATTAAAGTATATTGTAGGTATATTAAAGTATATTAAAGTATATCCCCGGGTCAAAATCGGGAAAAATCCTACATTTTAATATACTTTAATATGGTTGGCCCCCCCCCCCCCCCCCCCAATACTTGTCAGATATAATAGTTATGCAGAATATGTGGTTATTCGATGTCTCCAAAATTAAAGAGCTACGACTTTTATAAAATTTCACATGATAACAGATATAGTTATGCAGAATATGTGGTTATTCGATGTCTCCAAAATTTACGAGCTACGAATTTTATAAAATTTTTTTAATTATATTTTATTTGAATTTTATTGGGAATGGTATCGCTGCCTTAATATTTAGTATTGCATTTGGGGAGCTGTTATAATATGCTGAGAGTTTTTAACTTGTTAACTGCTTGGTTAATAGCTTGGTTAGGGAAAGCTTGGTTAGGGAAAGTTCTAGGCTTTGCTGATGTCACCAAAAATACCTGAGTTTGTATGATTCAAATCAATTTGATTATCAATAACACTTCGCAAAATTTCTTAGATTCCTTAATTGAAATGTTTATAGCAAATAGAAGTTGTATAGAAAATAATTATATTCTTTTCCTTTCAGAAAGGAGGAACTGTGATCGTTAATGAAGATGAACAGGATTACATTTGTGTGTGTACTGCACTTAATCTGTTCTCAGGCACTATGCCACCTGAACATCAAGGTAAATCATTGTAGTCTTTAGTTGTTCAATGTTCATCTGTACAGACTTTAATTAACAATTATGATTAGTTTCTCAGGACTTAACACTCCCTTTCTGCTCTCGATATTATTGATGATATGTAATATTGTCACTGAATCTTCCTGAACTAGTGAACTAATGCTATTTTTCCAGATGAGAAGGGGCTGTCTGTTAAAGAAGGGGATGTGATATATGTACTGAGAATGTCAAACTGTCCGTCTGGATTCTGGCAGGTATTTAATCATTATAACATTATAATCTGATATAACTTTTGTTGAACGTTTGTGAAGTGGTATCTGATAAAGCGAGTTTGCTCAAATTTGTGGTGCTTTAAAAATCTTACCATTGTCTAGTACAAGGTCTCTACAAGGTCTCCCGAAGTTTCTAGTACAAGGTCTCCCGAAGTGTCTAGTACAAGGTCTCTACAAGTGTCTAGTACAAGGTCTCCCCAAGTTTCTAGTACAAGGTCTCCCGAAGTGTCTAGTACAAGGTCTCCCGAAGTGTCTAGTACAAGGTCTCCCCAAGTGTCTAGTACAAGGTCTCCCGAAGTGTCTAGTACAAGGTCTCCCGAAGTGTTTAGTACAAGGTCTCTCCAAGTGTTTAGTACAAGGTCTCTCCAAGTCTCTAGTACAAGGTCTCCCCAAGTGTCTAGTACAAGGTCTCCCGAAGTGTCTAGTACAAGGTCTCCCGAAGTCTTTAATACAAGGTCTCTCCAAGTGTTTAGTACAAGGTCTCCCGAAGTGTCTAGTACAAGGTCTCCCGAAGTGTCTAGTACAAGGTCTCCCCAAGTGTCTAGTACAAGGTCTCCTGAAGTGTCTAGTACAAGGTCTCCAAGTGTTTAGTACAAGCTCTCCAAGTCTCTAGTACAAGGTCTCTCCAAGCGTTTAGTACAAGGTCTCCAAGTGTTTAGTACAAGGTCTCTCCAAATGTTTAGTACAAGGTCTCCAAGTGTCTAGTACAAGGTCTCTCCAAGTCTCTAGTACAAGGTCTCCAAGTGTCTAGTACAAGGTCTCTCCAAGTCTCTAGTACAAGGTCTCTCCAAGTGTTTAGTACAAGGTCTCCAAGTGTTTAGTACAAGGTCTCTCCAAGTGTTTAGTACAAGGTCTCCAAGTGTCTAGTACAAGGTCTCTCCAAGTGTTTAGTACAAGGTCTCTCCAAGTGTTTAGTACAAGGTCTCTCCAAGTGTTTAGTACAAGGTCTCTCCAAGTGTCTAGTACAAGGTCTCTCCAAGTCTCTAGTAAAGGTCTCCAAGTCTCTAGTACAAGGTGTTGTAACTTGTAGGTACTAGGTAGCTCCATTTCATGTCCATTGTCCCTGTACTAGAGCCGGACTAGTGTATCTCTTATAACGGTCTTTAGTTACTACTCCTTTATGTAACAAGCACTCAAACTGCCACACCAGCTGTGCGTGTAATCCTACACTCAGTTATACACTCTACACAGAGTGTACACTGTACACGCCTTGTATTATCACATGCAATAAGAGATCCCTAATTAGGGGGTGTAGCACATATTTAGTACTACTAATTATTACATGACTACATTTTATAAGTGCCCAATTAATTGTGGGCTACTGTAGTACGTATTCTGGTGTTAAATTGTATTGATCCCGTTTGATGCGACAAGGAAAAATGCTCTTATCAGAAGAGGAATTTACTCAACGTTTCAATGTTACAATGTATCGTATTCACGATCTCAAATTATTTGTTATGTAGTTTGCAACCATGCGACTCATAAACAATACTCATAAACAATACTCCAATCCGGATTTTACACGTACTGTAGTATGTACTTTTTTCTCCACTAATTAATATTTTACCGGGGTAAGCACAGGGCTCCAATTATACTCTATCCAATAGTGATGATGACCACAGCCTCCTACGATAAAGAAGAAGTATGTACTATACTGATTAATTTCCCGTAACACTTCCCCGTGTCAGACGGTAGCACTTTCACACTGTTTCACGGTTCCACATTGAATCACAGAGTTTGAATCACAACAAAGATATTATGAAATTCATTTTTATAACAGCTCAGCACAAAACAAGACTGATTTTCTCCCGCTATTCTTATTAAAAATCCAAAGATTAAAAACATTAGCCAAATGTACAAACAGCATCAAAACAGCAGGAAAAATTCTTCACACCGTCTTTCGTTGAAAAGCTACACAAAGTAGTAATGATAAGCAGCTATCTGCTTATCATTAATGAATAATAGTTATTGATTGATAGTATTACCATTCTGAACCAAACACACTGTTTTACAAAGAAATAATTTAGCAGGTTGCCATAGCAATAGGTTTCCATAGTTTAAAAACAGATAATTTCATTATCTGTTGATTCACAAGCGGGTCTCAACTTGTACTTTCCTCTCCCGTGGTTCAATTGGCTTGCTCAACACATGAGGATTGCCGCGAAATTCGCCCTCTACAACGTTCACTACAAATGTCCTGTACCTCTTCATCCTCCAGAAGAGTACACAGGGGTTAAGCGCTGCGTTAATAGCGACACACACCACGTAGACAGAGGGCCAGGCGTAGTAGAATAAGTATTGGTTAGAGTACACCTCAACGAACTCCAATTTCCCCTCCGTGTAGATCAGGTGGTAGAGGAAGAAGGAGAAATTAACCACTACCGGGATGTTAAACAAGATGTAGAGTAATGTTACCATGGTGACGGTTATTGCAGCTTGGCGCTGCGGGCAGGTTCGATTAGTGTTTGGTATCTTGTTTCTGTCCTTGGAAAGTATGACCATGGTGATTACAAAGCAGACAGTGACAGGGATAATGGGCAGTGCCAGCTGACTTATCAAGATTGCTAGTGTGGTTATCTCGTTCTGTGCGAAATACTCGTCAGTATGTGACACCAGGAAACAGTAGCGTGACATGGCCTCGTAGTCCATGTCATCATACGTCATCAGGAGGAAGATCTTTACACTGACGGTTATCAGAAGGTATGTAGCCATGAAGAGGTACACTATGGAGGGTACCATTATAGCTCGCTTCCAAGTGAGGAGCACAAGTCTAGATATGCACAACACCCCTACTAGGTAGACTGAGAAGGAGGGGAGGATCTCCCACAGCATCCCCCACACTGTGCAGAACACACTGTTCCCAAAGAATATGGGGTTTTTTGAACTGAAGTCTGGGTAGCCGGGGTCCTCAATAAAAGCATCGATAACAGGGAATAAGGAGATACAAGTCAACAGGTCCACCATGTTGATAACCTGGTACACTCTCTTAAAGTATAAACTGTTTCTGTTCCTAACTGCTTTAGTTGTGAAGAATACAATGGAGAGAGAGTTGCCGATTGTGCCGAATATTGTTGCTAGTATCAGGACCGCTGCTATTGATTTATCTAGCCATCTGATCGGAGGACCTATCTTCTCCACATCTCCGAGCAGGCTCTTAAACTCCGTTACCGCCATCCTTCTACTTCCTCTTTTTCGTCTCTTCTCACGTGATCCAAATTGACGTGTTGATTACTCAGAGAAGTTTCTACCGTCTATAATGACTACAATCTAGGGGGAAAATAAGATACATTTTTATTGAAAAGCAAGGATTGTAACAGAATTTGATTACTTCAGAAAACGAACTGGAGACATGCATCTGTCAAGCAATACCATGAAATTTTCGTGATAGTTTAGATTAATTGTATGGCCCAGTTTATCGGGAGAATTTCCATTGTTATATTGTGCTGATCGGAATCGCAATTAACAACAATAGAGAGTCACCAGTACCACTTTGAGTTTGAGTTACCACTGCACTAAGACACTATATAATCATCTAATTATCTAATTAGTTAATATACCCTCAGGTGAGGAACGTGTTTGGAAGTGAGGGTCTAGTGCCAATAACCTCACTCCGAGTGGATCAGGACATTTTGCAGCGCAAAAAGAGGCGCTCTCAACGAGTCCAGCAACAGAAGCGTCTAGATATGATCAAATCTGCAGGTAAATAACAACAATTAAAAATTAATACTAACGGAACATTTACGAGGATAAGATAAATACAATTAGTCACGTAATCATGCATTGGTGACAGCTGAAGATATATGGTGGTAATGGTAGGCACTGTCCTGATTCCAGAGCCTGAGAGCACAAGTAGAATAATATAAGGTTTATAGTGAAAGTGAAGGCTAGAGCTAAATTTAAGGTTATGAATACGATTAGGGATAGGAAACGGCTGCACGGTTACTTAATTGTACAACTATAATCATACACGTTTAAACTTTAAAAGCTGGTCAACGAACCCAGAAATTATAACTTATAAGGCAAGAATTTATAGAAGTAGGCTGTCACATGCGCTGGAAGACTTTGGGACCGGAAACTGATCCGGCCCCCAAAGAGGGGTCAAATCACGTCACTAATTAGTGACGTATAATTAGTGATGTGATCGTTGGATTGAATTTAATTTAATTGACATAGAAATGGGCTAGATCTGGGGTAGAGTTTACATGTCAATTCTGTAAATCATAGCTGTACATTAAGAAGTAAACATGATCTGACTGCTCGACTCGTAGATCACATAAGGGACGGGAGCTCTTGCTAAAGGGGGGTTCTCGTATCAAGGGATGTGAGACGTACGTGTCAAAGGCATGCAAGGGGAGTGAGCCGATCTGGTCTTCTAGGTATAAATATTGGGTGATAGAAGGTAGTAGTATCGCATTCTATCAACAGTCATGCCTACCTTCTCCAAGTTCCTCAACGGTTTCAGAGGATGTGATCACGAGTGTGATTAAGTATTTCTTTGACCAGAATTGTCCAACTGACACTGGTACTGCTCTGGTTGCGTTTTGAGTTGTCATATGAACTCTACCCCAGATCTAGCCCATTTCTAGGTCAATTATATTCAATCCATGGATCACATCACTAATTATACGCCACAAGCTTCAAGCTTGCATGTTAATTAATTGATGACGTATATGGTGGATCATATCACTCCGGCCCCAAAGTGTGGCAGCCGTCACATGGGCGTGCGCAGGGGGAGGCGACGCAGGTGGTCGCCTCCCCCTTTTTGAAATTTGAACCTAGCATTTTTACAATGTAAAGCAACATGAAATTGTAAGGAATGATTTTTTAAATGTTCATAAAAAGATTGAATGACATCAAACACATCAAAACTTTAACTAGCATCAGAAAAGCTAGAGGGGTCATCAGAATTGTGGATATCACGAACTAGTAGTTAGTACCAAATAGTTTACATTTGTCGCAACAAACGGGAACACTACAAATTGTCAAAATTTTTCCCCAGATTCATAAAACAATGCGACTAATTAAATAAATAATGTTCCAATACGGACATTACATATCACCGAGTGTTTTATCAACTGTCTTGATTCTTGAACCTTCTCGAAAATAGTAGAATGTTATAATCTGTATTGATATCCTGTTGGTTTAGCGCCTAATTAAGTAACAATATTTTCCGGGGGCTGCACCCCCAGACCCCTGCCGCAGCTCGCTTCGCTCGCGGCATTCTATTCGGATCCGGCGATTCGCGCCGGTTGCTCACCTACCTCTTTCAAAAATCCTGTGCACGGCTCTGAGTATTCGCTAAGTGGTGAAAGTACAGGGTGGGCCAAAAGTCAGTGGACATACGTTGGCCCTAATAGCTCAGTCGCTGAGTGCCCAATTGAAATAATTCTTTTTGGTATGCATTATGACTTACTACCACCACTGGTTCGAGGAATTTGTCAAATCGAAAAATATTCGAGTTCATTTTTTTCAAATTAAGGTTCATTTTTGCATTTATTTGATAGTTTGGATAGTCGGATCGAGCTAAATTTTATTGGATTGTGTTTGGCCATTCGAATTACGTTTGTCCTGAAAAGATTAGAACTGTAGCTTCTCAGATGACCGAGATATGAAGCATAACGAGTTTATTCATTACGTGTGATCAGGTGATTGGTCTACCTAATAGACGAAATACAGAAAATGCTTGATAACTTCGTCATTTCTAATCCGTTTTGCCTCATGTTTTCATCATATGCAACATTTAATAATCTACCGTCTATGAAACAATTAGACGTTCAGCACGTTCAGAGAAAACAATATAGTTGTTTTAATATTGAATGAGCGTGGTCTAAAATATTCAAATTTTCAAATTTTGACTACGGAAACCAGTAAGTTAAGTATGCCATCTGCAAAGCAACAGCTCTCAAATATAAAACACGGCGGAGCTATTAAGGCCAACGTATGTCCACTGACTTTTCGCCCACCCTGTCATAAATACTTCGACGTATGCACAGGGACTGTCCCTGTGCATACGTCGAAGTATTTATAAAAACTTAACTGTCGTTCAGTTGTAATCTTAAAGTTTAATTCTTCATGTTTTAATCGGTGTCGCTGAACACGATGGACTAGTGTTTCCACAAAACTGGTTCCGTTCCGGTTGATATCCGGCCGTTTCCGGTCCGGCAGCCAAGACCCCAGACCGGTCGGTTTCTAAGTGGGATACGAGTCAAGATAAGAGCAGGACGAACTGGGTGTAACAGAAACGCATATAAGCTATCAGTAAAAAATATAATGCGTAAGATAGGAAGCTCCTGTGAAAGCAGTATTTTGAAACGAGCTATTAGTCAAGAATCTATTAGATACCAACAGGTTACCAGAGTTTAAGACACGCTCATATATAGTATATAGCGCAAGAGACGACAACTTCTCAATCTCTGTGATTCCGTGACAACAGACAACAGTAAATTAGTTCACGAGTCATGTTTGACATCTTTATTATATTATCGTCAGGTAGCGATAATTAATATTATTGATAACTCTGGTTGACTGGGAATTGGGATACAGCCAATCGTAAAGGGAAGTGTTAGATACATGACCAAATAACAATAACTAACGATTATTTTTTTAACTGCTGAACAAATTTTAATATATCCAGTCCAACCTTAAGGGGGCATACCCCAAATCTGTCCAGACCTAATGACCTCATAGGCAGTTCAGTGACCTTCTAGCGCACCGTTTCCACACCAAAAAAAATTATTTTGAGAATTCCCATTTTTGTAATCGAGCATTTCCTGGTTAAGAGTGCAATTTTCGGAAAATATTATTTTGTGGTTGAGACGCTATAAGTTAATTATTTCTTGCGGTATCGGGTTGAAATTTTGCTCGCCGTTTATTCACATCTATGTCAAGGTGTGTGTAAAATCTTGATATCGTATCTAAAAAGGCTGGTGTGTTATGAATTTTTAAAGTCAAAAAGCTAAAATTGTCCTTTTCAGGCTTATTTTAACAAAAAGTCAGTCAGGGAAGATCGGATTATTTGATGCTTGACATCAAATTGTTCTCTGAATTCTGGCGCAGTTTTTGATGCCCTCAAAAATGTTTTTACTCATTCACCTTCTGATCTATTGGACCTCAAAGCCAAACAACAAATTTAGGCACATTTTTCGTTTTTAATATTTACTGATTTTTCTAAAATTTTGATAGGAATGTGCTAGTGACTTTTTGAAGGGTGCAAAATAACCGCAACTAGCACATTTATATATGAGTTATGAACAACAAAACACCCTAAAATGCTTCCCTTTGAAGTTATGGGAGAAATGTGATTTTTTGGCTTTGCAGATAAAAAATCACATGGGAATGCGTTGTAAAGTGAGTCAAACCCCACAGACCACAGCACCATAACCTCGGTGTATAAATTAATCAATGACCCTGGTCATTAGAAACACCCATAAAAATTCGTTTTTTGACAAAAAAATTGAAATTTTTGTTTTGATTTTTGTTTTTTCCGCATTTGATTTTTGGTATGCGTATATAATTTATACGGCTTTAAAATGATATGTTCAGCGACCTCCTAGCTCACTCACTAGACTCAGTAGGAGTGATTTGCCCTCGACTTAATGCTTCAAAAATTTTATTAAACGAAACTTAATTAGTTGAACTATAGACATGTGAAAATTTATCATATGCTTATCTTAAAAGTTCTTCCTGTGACAATCTTCTAAAGTTCGTGCAAACTTTCCTAATGACCAGGGTCCAATCAGCAACAAATGATAATTTTCATCTAGCTGTGTGCACATACAAATATTGATTTAATGACCTCGTGATAAACAGTTATACTATATTTAGACAAATAGAACCTTCGTAGGTGCAAATGAAACCATTGAAACATGATTCGCTACACGTCGCAATAAAGCACATAAATCTCAAAAAGGTATTATACGACAAATAGAACCTTCGTAGGTGCAAATTAAACCAATCAAACATGATTCGCTGCACGTCGCAATAAAGCACATAAATCTCAAAAAGGTATTATACGACAAATAGAACCTTCGTAGGTGCAAATTAAACCAATCAAACATGATTCGCTGCACGTCGCAATAAAGCACATAAATCTCAAAAAGGTATTATACGACAAATAGAACCTTCGTAGGTGCAAATTAAACCAATCAAACATGATTCGCTGCACGTCGCAATAAAGCACCTAGACACTGCATCACGTGAAGGCAACAGATTGGCTACCAGTAGTAGTAGTAATTATATCTTCAGTAGGCATATCTACTGGGCCCATCCATCAGGAGTGCAAATATAATAAACTTTTTCCAGGAATCGCCGTTATAATATATATATATATATATATTAATATATATAATTGTAAGGTCATTAAAATTCTCGAATTAAAGTTATTTTGAGAATAAAAATTGCCGATTTTACAAGATCAAACCTTTAAAGGACTAACCACAAGCTAATGCAAAAAGGAGATCTAAAATTTCAATTCTTCCTTTTATTTCTTCCTTCAATTTTATTTATTCTGACACATTTAGAATATAAATAAATAGGTCAAGCTTTTAGAGAATAAATAAGTAGCCAGAACATGTAGATACATATAATATCACGTATTATGAATGAATGAATGAATGAATGAATGAATGAATGAATGAATGACTGAATGAATGAATGAATGAATGAATGAATGAATGAATGAATGAATGAATGAATAAATAAATAAATAAATAAATAAATAAATAAATAAATAAATAAATAAATAAATAAATAAATAAATAAATAAATAAATAAATAAATAATTTAAAGACGACATAAAATTATACAATTACTGTATGCTCGATCCTCTAAATACACCGAGAAACTAGCCCCTAATTGGCGTGAACAATTATAAAAGGTAAATTATTGAATTACTTCAGACAACCTAGCTGACAGATCTATGAGACTACAGCAGCAAAAACGACTGGAGATGATCAAATCAGCGGGTAAGAATTCTAAGTTTTGAGTTAATTCATTTTTAAGATGCCGCGAATTAAATCATTCACCAAGTAAGACAAAGGACTAACTAAGTTAGTCCTTTGTCTTACTTATATAAGTAACTTATAACCTATTCTGGGGAGGGATACAGCTGATGTTATTACTCTAAATTTTTAGTATTAATTAGCACCTTAGTTAGTGTTGCAATCATGTTGCAGTTGCACAAGGAATATAAAATACTTTGCGAGTAACTAGTGCTTAATGTGACAAGTTTGCAATATTATGAGGCAACAAAGAAACTCTTAGTTTTAATAAGGTTTAAACTAGTCCATCGCTTCATAATATACATTTTTAACTTACAATATTTAAAACTACATTTATTTTCATAGCAAGAATATTCGCGTGGGCGTTTCCGTTTTCAACATTGCCGTTCAGAACCATTTCTCGCGAGAATCAGAAAAAGCGCCATCTGCAAGATGCTCATGCAAATACACACAAGTTAAGAGTCTGACTCTTAGAATTAACGTACCTGCTGAAAATGCTGGGAGTTCTGTGGCTGTCAGTGCGAAAATAAACCATTTCTGCGATATATTCGTATAATATCAAGTTGGAGCGAAATATCCACTTTAGGCACTTGCTATCGTGACCAGAGTTTCAGAGCTATATATAATATATGTATATGTACGTTCTTCATTGAAGTAGTCAGTAAAACAAGGACATTATACTATGTGTGGGGACTACGGACCCCATCATAACCCATTTCAAATTTGCCGCCTGGTTACATAGCACTGAAATACAATATAATTCAATATACAAATTCAAAGCAATGTAATCATAGTACACACCAGCCCAGACGCTCAACATTTTCTAATACAGATTCCAAAAAGGCACACAAAATAACAAAAGGTAATACTAATAATATAGAAATGTACACATACAAGAACTGGCGTTCAAATAATGCCAGTACATGCTAGAGCATGTTAAACAGAGAACAAAATACTAAAGTGTAATATATCCACCAAAACACGTTGCCAAACCGTTAGAATTAGAGTGTTACACATGTTGCGACCTTAAGTAATTTACTAATAGCTTTTAACAACAATACTGAGGACGTGGTGATCCAATTTATAACGGAGCTGCACAATACCAGAGAGAAAGTACGTTAATAGCTCACGTGTAATAACGCTCAGCTAGCACAGCCTTGCTATCTCTTCAGCACTATTATATGGTCTGCCCTGAGCTATAGAGGACTTGATCCTCTAAAAAAAACAACATAATATACTGTTAATGTGTTTAGTGTATGTATTCTGGGATTAGAAAACGATACAAAGAAGCAGCTGTGAGATCATATTGTGAGGGATATTTTTGTAAAAAAGAAACCGCATATAATATAACATCCTAACAGAGAGCTTATTTCTGGGAATTAAGAGGGGATTTTCTACGGTACATGTTTGGGACATGTGTCAAGTTTGACAAACTATAATCGTAATGGAATCGATATAATTTGCAAAATCGATTCCATTACTCAAGTCTTTGAGTAATTCGTGCGCTTAATTATTTACAACGAATAAATGATACCTTTGAATTTTAATACCTTTCAAGTCTTATGAAGATTCTACAAATGGCCTAAAATGTGTCCCTCTATTTAAGTATCATGCAATGTCACGCAATATCACGCACTATCACGCAATATCACGAAATAATTTACTTAGTATGGTTAATAGTCCAGTCATTTATGGAAATTTATTGACATCTACCTGCAAATCTTCAGTTCTTACTTCTTTTGCACCCTATCCGAAGACTGTATCATGATCCAGGATCCTATCAAAAGTTAGTAAAATGGGCTCAGCGCCACCCCCCAAATGGTTTTTTGGCGAATTTCTCGAAAAGTAAGGATTTGAATCCATATGTTGAACAATAAGTCCTATATAAATTTGCATATGCAGCTTCGTTCAAGCGTATTTTAAAGTCTCTACGACCTTCAGAAGCAAAGGGTCAGTTACCTCATTGTGTTAATATGGGCGTGGTCCTCCTGGGTTTTCCCCACGGAAAAAAAATGTCTCGAACTGAAGATCGTTTATTCATACCTTTGGAAAGTTTCAAGAGTATCTGAAGATTTGCAGGTAGATGTCCTTAAATGACTGGACTATTATAAAGTAAGATAAGACAGTGGTGTAAGTTATAGATCTGTAAGATAACTCAACAGAAGCTTCCCTCTAAAAACTGTCTTGAGCAGTTCAGCTTTAAGAGATCGATGTACCGCATTGCGACATGGCTCCCAATATATCCGCATTGCGACATGCCTCCCACTAAGTAGTAGTTATAATTCAAGCAAACCGCTGAGGAAGAGGTTATATATTAAATTCATTATTGTAACGGTATATTAGAACCAGACAGAAACAAACGATTGGGCGACATCTGTCCGACAGCGGACAAACACAAGAAAATAGTGCTGTCGGACAGATGTGGCTATCGGACAAATGTCGTGTTACCCAAACAAACAGTTCCTTGTTAACACTGAGAGGTTATATAATGCAAAGTTCGTATATTATTAAAGCTATGGTATGTATTTTATATCATTGTAATTATAGTATTACAATTAGACCTTACCTTTATAACAGGTCTTGTACAAATCGCATGAATACAATTTACAATTTACAACTAACAATGAGCCAGGTAGACTCTGGCTCTTTTTGGGGGGGGGGGGGGGGGGGGGCCTTGTAGTTATAAGATCTGTTCTTGCTTGTCTCGACAATACTACTATTGTACCTACTTAACTATTGTACCTTCCAAGATGATTTCTCACTAATTATATAGTACCGCACGTTTTACTAATTATGGGAATTATTCAGAGATTTCTCATTTCTGCGTGACTGCAGGAATGTTGTTAATTTAGAAATAGTGTGTACTTGAGAATGTTGGAACCATAGTAAGGACCTTTTGAGCTATGAAAACGGTCAGTAAAAATACAAAGAACAGTTTGACAAGGAAAAAGGAAGGAGGAAGGAGTAAGGACCCTGACGTTTTGTGACGTGTTGTAACAAGGATTGGAATGCACAATCTCACTGTGGAATCTAATGTTTTATTAGTGTTGTCCTTGTTTTTATGGGTATACCTCTAACAAACAAAGAGACACAAGTCACAACGACACAGAGACACTAAATTAATTATAATGAGTTTGAGGAGCATATTATATGGTACACATATCAAACTTCTCGTGATATGTGAGTCAGATAAAACATTTCTTTGATTGCTTGAAATGAGGCTGCAAATCTAGTGTCATTTGATAAAATTTAACTATATGCCTTATAAAATTATGAATTATTGACAATTAATCAGTAAGCACTAAGCAACGACTAATGAAACTATCATATAGTTGAATCGATGATTTTGATAAAATTGATAGTGAACGATATTTATCAAAAATCTATTTGACGGCGCAATTTTCATGATTTGAATTTGTACGTGTATATAATGATAAGAGTTAAGATATGAGTATAGTTCCAATATCCTAAACGGATGAAAGTTAAGTATAAAAGTAGTCAAACAGTACACACAGATAATTTCAACTTTTCAACAGTGGTCAATGTCCAGCAATAAGGTTAGACACCCTCAACAATATATAGTACTTTTTGCTGTATCAGTGTGAAAAGGTTTTACTACGGTCCACTAACTCCTGTTCAAAAGAAATGTCAAGGTCGACACTCCAGCTAACTCGGCAAAATGTTTGGCTTCTCAGTCATTCCAATACTATCATTCAAAGCTTCAAATCACAAGCTAAATTCGTGGACAGGTCGCAATTTGTTTTGACATCTCTGACATCTCTGATGCTATATACTATTAAATATTGCGTGATAGTGTGTGATACTGTGTGATACTGCGTGATACAGCGTGATATTGCGTGATATTGCGTGATATTGCGTGATACAGCGTGATATTATACATTTATCACATGCCTTCTCATGCGATATCAAAACTTTCGCCCACGAGGCTTGCCGAGTTAGCGAAAGTTTCGATATTTCCCGAGGCTTGCCGAGGGTTATATCGACATTTTCAATCACGAGGCTTGCCGAGTTTTGAAAATGTTGATATCGCATGAGAAGGCATGTGATTAATGTTTTATCACACTTTCTTTGGAGCCAAATTTGGCCGGGAAAGCAGAATTTGATCAAACGTTAGTTATAAATCTCACCAAAGCAAAACTAGACATGTCGAACTTATTTATGTTTATAATGTCCAAGCTATATATAGCTCTCGATAAGTTAGTATTTCAGATATTAAAGATACAATACGTGAAATTAGAATCTCGCGTTTCACATTTATGACACAGTGAATGCTGTGTGCCGCGCTGAATTTGCTTTGTACTGCTACCTAGTGCATGCAATATTAATGTGTTTTCCGCCTATGGGTCTTGTACTTATGAGTCTAGAATATTCCGCCGCGAGCGCGTATGATACGTAATTACATCCTGCAAATCAATTGATGTGAGGTGATTCTAATACTTTATTTCTATTAGATATTTTTAGAGTCATTAAAACTGTAGATGCAGTATAATGTATAGAACATCCGTTTAAGTGTTGATTATACATCACAGTCCTTATCGTATAATCTGTATCTGCGATAAGGTGAAAGAATTTCCTGGTTGTTAAATTTGAATAGAGCTGTGCAGCCATGATTGTCTATTTATCAGTCCACATTATACACTGCACACCCTAATTTACTACTACTACTACTATGTCGGAGCTAAGTCCGATCTACGCCAGAAAACCCCCTCCATATATCCCTGTCCCGCATCAGGGTTCGCAGTTCCTCTTTAGAGTTTGTCCCAACTTCCTTCAGTAACATAGACAAGTAGCTTTGTCTTGGTCGGCCTTGCTGTGCTCTACCGTGCGTAGGTTCCCATAAGACTAAATCACTGGCAAGTAGCTCAGGATGTCGGATGCAGTGTCCCGCCATTTTTAATCTCCTGCTTCGTAACTTGTTTGACAGCCTTGGGAGGCTACCATACAAAGTTATATTGCTGACCTT